ATAAATTGCATACTAAATAGAGTTGTGCTCCAAATTGGCTGAATTTTAAATATGCTGTTCGTTTGTGATATTTTGATGTTGTGTATAGATTTCATAATTTTTGGACTTAGTTTGCTAGGGTAAATAATTATTTGTAATTTTCTGCTGATACTCGTTTTTATTATGATAAATCGATCGGTTGCGGTAAATTGCTGAAAATTAGTGAGCATGCTCATTTTATGTTTTAGTACTTAGCATAAAATTTTCAGAATTTAATTTGTTCTTTATGATAGGTTTATAATTAAAATGATTTTTCTGCTGAATATTGTCAGAATTTTCATAATTCGTGTGTTTGTTGTTTAAAGCTGAAATTTTTATATGTTGGTCCTTACATGCTGTAAAAATTTCAAGCCTGAATTCATTCATTAGGTCAGGCTATGAATTTATGCTCGTTTTTGCTGAAAACATGAGTGAATTTTATAAAATTGGATATTTTGAGTTAAGGGCTGAAACTTGGTGATATTGCCATGTTCATATAGGAGAATTTTGTGTTAAAATTTTAAAGCCAAACTCATTCATTAGCCTGACCAACTTAATTGGTGTGATTGCCCTTAATTGGTTTCGAGTCGAGCCCAGGTGTTCCAATGTCCACAGAACTCCACGAATGACTTAGTTGAATCAAGTTCGACTAAGTATGATTTGTGTGTGCTTCTGGTAAGGTTAAGATAAGATGTTGATTTCAGTATCTTGACTTATTGTAGGTGCTTGACGAGCCGAGCTCGACGCCTACCCTTTACTGTTTGAGTTTAGCACTCGCTTTCGACCAGGTGGGTTTTAATTATGAAATTGCTATGCCTTAATTAATTGTTTTTGTTGTGGTATGATCAATGTATGCATGAACCATGTAGCCTTCGATGTGAGCTGTACCGGTCGTCGAACGGTTATCCTCGTAGCTATAGAACGTACCTTCGGGTAGTCTCCTTTATTATTGTTGGCAGTCAGGGCGTGAGCCTTGGCTGGTGATTCTCGTTGGTAAGTCCAAGGCGAAAGTCTTGGCAGTTAGGGTGGATTTACTCTTGCTGGCCGGGCACTCGTTGTAAGGCCTTAGATAAGGCGTTCGGTATATAGTTTGGCAGCAGTCTATTGCTATAGGTGTGCACACGAGACGATTATTGATTATTGATAGGAGATTAGATGATTATTGATCCGTATACATGCTGCGACCATACCTTTTTCTGTTATTGATTATTATTGGATATTAATTATTGCATAGTGGTGAGCACCTCGATTTTTCAATTGTGCTCACCCCCACCTGCTCTTCATGGATGCAGGTTAGTATATGCTGGCACGGCGGAGGGATACGAGTGGTGGTCTATTTATATGTTATATGCTTCCGCCTATTGAACTGAATACTGATATTATTGCTTTTCGAATATTGATTATGGATTATTGTTAAGGAGTGTACTCCTTGGATTTTAGAAATTTGAGAAACCCGGTTTGGGTATTGGATTGATGATTGATGTTTTATGATTGATTATTAAGTTTTGGAAATTATTATTGATTATTGAGATCTGCTTTGAAAAATAAGTAACGCCACAATGATTTCGAAATAAATTTTAAAAAATTTATTTTGTTTTTCTGCAAATAAAAATGAGACGTTACATGGAGGATCATATTTCGGGTCATCCGACGAGCGCTGATCGGACTCCGGCGTAGGGTTTTCTCGGTTCATTGCACAATTATCCTAATTAGCTATTTTATGGATAAGCTAAAATGTCGAGCCTTTTGCTGTTGAGCTATTTAGCTCATGGGTTATAATATTTTTTTAGTTTTAAATATTGTTTAAAAAAAAAAGAAAAAAAAAATCCTTGCAACACTTCCCAATTTTACGGTATTGCTATAAAACCAACAATCAGTTCCATAGTAAAGTCAACCTTCTATATACAACAAGTAAACGTACTATATTAATAAAATTATTAGTATTTTATTTAAATAATCAAAAAATATGGTATATTTTTGTATGCAAAACTGACCAATTTTTATGTGTGACAATTAGTCAAAAACCTTTTAATACTGCCATCCTATACACCTTCATTCTCTCTAAATTCTCTCTCTTGCTCCTCTCGCTCTCCCCTCTCTCTGCAAATGAAGCGTCCGTTCCCGAACCTGCACGGAACCTTAACGCCTATTAAATGACGATACCACTCGCCGCCGCCGCCGCCGCCGCCGCCGCTGTACTGTTCCTCTCCGCCGTGCTCCTTCATCCGCTTCCCACACTCGCTCTCGGCGGCTCTGCCGCAACCATCGCAGTGGTCTACGGGTCCACCACCGCCGTCTGCACCATTGCCGCCGGCCAGCCCATCCAGCAAATCCAATGCTGGAGCAACGGCCTTGTTCTGCCGTCCATCCTCCCCAACACCTCCTTCGACGCCGTCGCCGGCGGCCGCGACTCCATCTGCGGCATCCGATCCGGCGGTTTCAGCCTCATCTGCTGGAATACCACTTTTTCCCCCAAGCGGTTATACAACAACGCCTCACGCCCGCTGACCACTCTCGCCGTCGGCGACACCCAAATCTGCGCCCTGACCAACGCCGGACACGCTGAGTGCTGGCGAGGCGACAGCATCTCCCCTTCTCGAAGCCCCATCGCAAACCTGCGATTCCGCACGATCTCGTCCGGAATTGGTTTTTCCTGCGGCATCACGCATTCGGGAAGCCGCGTCGTATGCTGGGGGGACGATGCCGCGTTTTCCAATTCAATCCAGTCGGAGTTCGGCAACGCATCAATGTCCGACATCTACGCTGGCGGGCGGCACGCCTGCGGGATAACCAACCTAGGGTTCGTAATATGCAGAGGCGACAATACCAGCGGGCAGCTGAATGTCCCCGCAAATTCCGCGTATGAATACAGAGGATTAGCCCTGGGACAAAACCACAGCTGCGCCATCCGACGATTGAACCGCACTGTCGTGTGCTGGGGTGGTGGGGAATTCACTACCAGCACCTCCATTGACGGGATCTCTTTCGAGACCATAGCCGCGGGCCTCAATTTCACCTGCGGGCTTGTGACCACCAATTTCTCGGTCATCTGTTGGGGCTCTAATTTCCCCAACGCTGAGTTACCTCTGTCCAGAACCCTCCCGGGCCCATGTATCGACTCGCCCTGCCCCTGCAACGTCTATCCTCAATCCCACTCCCTCTGCTCTGCAAACGGCCACATCTGCAGGCCTTGTGACATCCCCATTCCTAATCCACCGGCTATTTTGCCATCTCCTCCTCCTCATTCCCCACATTCAAGGACAGGTTTACTGGTTTTTGTGATTGTTGGCTCTGTCGGGGGCTTTGCCGGGATTTGCTCGTTAATCTACTGTGTTTGGACAGGCGTTTGTTTTGGTAAGAAAAAAATTCACAATTCGGTGCAGCCGACCATAACGGTGGCTTCCAACCATGGGTCAAGCAGCAACCCGCCTTCACGCTCATCCACCATCCGAAGGCAGGGCTCGATCCTAATGAGACGGCAGAGAAGCGGGCCTTCATCTAAGCACGCAGATCGGGCCGAAGAGTACAAGTTCTCAGAGCTGTCAGCCGCCACTGACAACTTCTCCTTGCAGAACAAGATTGGCGCCGGCAGCTTTGGTGTGGTGTACAAAGGCAAATTGGCCGATGGGCGTGAAGTTGCCATCAAGAGGAGTGAGCCAGGCAAGAAATTTCAGGAGAAGGAGACGGCCTTTGAGTCGGAGCTGGCATTTTTATCTCGGCTGCACCACAAGCACTTGGTGAGGCTTGTGGGATACTGTGAGGAAAAAGATGAGCGGTTATTGGTGTACGAGTACATGAAGAATGGGGCGCTTCACAACCATCTGCACGGGAATACAAATACCAATGTGATAAATTCGTGGAAAATGAGGATAAAGATCTCGCTGGATGCGGCCCGTGGGGTAGAGTACCTGCACAGCTATGCAGTGCCCCCAATCATCCACCGGGACATCAAGTCGTCCAACATACTGCTGGACGAAGACTGGAGCGCACGGGTCTCGGATTTTGGGCTGTCTCTGCTGAGCCCGGATAAGGATCGGGAAGGAGGGTTCCGGCCCGCTGGGACGGTGGGGTATATCGACCCAGAATATTATGGGCTGAACGTGGTGACCGCCAAGAGTGACGTGTACGGTCTGGGGGTGGTTTTGCTGGAGCTGCTCACTGGCAAAAGGGCGATTTTCAAGACAAGCGGTGGTGAGCCCATAAGCGTGGTGGAGTATGCAGTGCCGGCGATTATAGCCGGGGAGGTGGAGAGGATTTTGGACCCGAGAGTGGGGGCGGAGGAGTTGGAGGCTGTGGAGCTGATGGCGAATACGGCCATGCATTGTGTGCAAATAGAAGCCAAAGATCGGCCCACCATGACGGATGTCGTGGCCAATTTGGAGAGGGCTTTGGCCTTGTGCCAGGGGGACAGCCATGGGAGTATCTCTATTGCTTCTGATTGACATTTTTTTTTTTTCTTTCTTAAAATTATTTCTTTTCCAAGGAATATTGCCTTTTTTCACCCTTGAATTTCTTTTTTCTGTTTTTCCTTTGTAAATCGCAGGTAGAGAGAACATTTTTTTTTTTTTTTTCCTGTATTTTTAGTTTTAATTTAACATGATTATTTATTGAATAAAAAGGTGTTGAGTAGACTAGTAGCGGTATAAGAGTGAGAGACTCGAGTAGAAGCTTTCTTGTAGCCAAAGCGAGAAACACTTTTGCTAGGATTTTGAGTATGTGATGGGGTCATTATTTATTGCTAACTCATCACTTATCCTTCAAATTTGTTGAATTTTAGTAGCATGAAGTGATGAGACCCAAAAACTCGTCCCTTGGGGACATTCGTTAAAATTGAAACAATACAGAGAAGATTAGCATGATTCCTGCACAGGGATAACACGCATAAATCGAGAAATGGTCCAAAAACTCGTCTACGAGTTAAAACTCGATAATTAACTTCACCAGTATATACACATTTTTTTTTTACCGAAAATGAATTGAATTTAGAGCAAAAGAAAGTAAATACTGCTAGTGTTTTGGTCTGAGCAAGGAAATCTACTTGTTTTCCAAGCAGAAATGTAATTATCCGTAGGGTAGAAAAAGTTGGGTTGGGCCGAAGTCTACTTTCCCACACGTCCATATTCTATAGTCTTTTGTTGAAAGAGCCTACACACTACACTATTTCGGGTTAGTCTTGAAAAACCGGCCATCATTGAAGGCAGTCAATTGAAGCTAATTACACATTAAATATATGGACACGTGTAGACCAATCTCTTGACCCCTCTGCTGGGGCTTCAAAGTTGACTTTTATTACAAACAGGCAGGTCGCAAATCAAATAGCAACTTCCTGTTCAAATTGAATTTAAGCTTAATTGTACCTAAAATTCTTAATTTTTTTGTGTAATTGTAAATAAAACTCAACAATTTTTATCTTTACAAATAAACTAGTAGATATCCTGCGCACATGCACAGAAGTACATAAAATATTATAAGTAATATTTGAGAATTTAATATTAAAATTCTAGATAATGAACATATTACATTTTCAAAAATTTGATCATTAGGAAAAATAAAGTAACGATGAACAATTGTTTATTATCATTAGATAATAACAGTTTGATTATTATTATTATTATTATTATTATTATTATTATTATTAAAAAACAATTGTTTATAAGAATCTAAAGTTGTTTGACTATGCTATTAAAATAATTTCCTAATTGTTTTTAAAATTTTTTTTTTCATCAGATACAAAAGAAAAAGATAATATTAATGTTAATATAGATTACAATTGAAACAATTATTTGTAATTATACAATTTATATTCATTGTGAATTATTATTAGTTGGTATTAGAAATAACTATTATTTAATATTTTAGAAAAATACATGATTACACTTAATAGGATGTATTAATGTGAGAAGTAAAAAAATATTTATGATAAATTTTGTAACAAAAAATGGAGGGAAAATTTTAGAGGTTTTATTAAATAGGTTTTATTAAATGCTATATGCCAGCAATTATATATATATAGATACCGAACTTTTATTATGTGTTGCAAATTTGTCTCAAAACTATTTTCCGGTCAATCCTTGTTGACGTGTCCGATCAGAAATCTTACATGACACTTATGATGCTTGTGTGACATCAATCTTTGAAACTAATCACCATTTTTTTGCCACATCATATGCCAACAAATTAACCAAAATTTGAGTTTAGTACCAATTGGAAAAAAATAGAATTTTATCATAATTTTTTGCACCATAATCTTCATAAAATCGTGTCCTTCTCCTTCAATTGAAAAAAAGAATATTTGCAGCGATCTTCTCTTCTCCAGGGCGATTCTTCACCCCCCAAAAATCAAGTTCACCCCAACAGGAGAGTTCGATCCTGGCTCAGGTTGAACGCTGTAATCCAAATACATTTACGAGCTCACCCCCAAATTTTGAAAAATTGGACAGAGGGATCGATTTTCGAGTGATTTTTTAGGCGATTTTAGTGTTCTGATCGGACACGACAGCAAAATTGGCCGGAAAATAATTTTGAGACAAATTTGCAACGCATAATAAAAGTTTGGTATTTATTTGCAAAATTAGAAAAAATTAGTTTTATTTACAATTACACAAAATGTGGAGATTTTATGTTCAATTAAACTTCATAATAATAATAATAATAATAATAATAATAATAATAATAATAATAATAATAATAATAATACCTACCACGGAAAACGTATGAACAAATTTAAAATAATCGGCGGTTATTGGAAACTGAATTATGTATTGATGTATAAATGGTGAGTAGTAAATTGAAAATTTTAATACTTTGGAGACGTAGGATTTTATTAATTGGTGGCCGGTGACAATCACAGTCCCCACCTCAAGTCCTGTTCTGGTGTTCATATTTCTTGAATTCATCTACTCTTCTTGTGTGTACATTTAAAGTTCAGTTCACACACGAGATCGCTGTATGGAGATATGAATTCTTTTCTTTTTCTTTCTCTTTCTTTGTTGGGTACCGTATTTTATGTTTGAGATGGTAATAAGGATGGTCACAATGTTAACCTTAGGTGCAAACTAAAATTTGAACAAGTAGAAAGATAAGAAGAATAAAATAATTTTTTTATCTCACATTTAAAAATATTTTTGTCAATATAACATTAGTAGTAGATGAATTGTGTCCATTATCACCATCATCATCACAAATAATAATATAATTAATGACTCATGACTCTAAAAACAACAATAACATATTGATATGAGATATCATACCAGGTCAAATTACGACCTAAAGAGTGATCTGACTGTTGGGACATATGAAGATCTCGATATGCAC